GCCAACAGCTTACATATCATCTTGCAAATCCCAGATGGCAACACGAAACAGGACATTACAAAGATAGGAAGAGCATTCAAAACTGCTTTGATCATAACTTCCTTCCCAGCAATAGATAAGAACTGATTCTTCCAACTATTAATTCTATTCCAAACCGCAGCCACCACAAACTGAAAAGCTTCCAGCTTAGAAGCCCCAATTCCCAAAGGAAGCCCTAAATACCTTGAAGATCTCTTCACCATCACACCAGGCAGAACAGAAGAAATCTTTCCCTTCAAATCAGCAGAACAATTTTTGCTATAAAACATAGAAGATTTGTGAAGATTCACCTTTTGCCCTGAGAACTCTTGATATTTCTGAAGCACTCCCATCAATAAGTTAGCATGGTGTTCATCAGCCTTACAGAAAAGAAGAGCATCATCCGCAAATAGTAAATGAGTGAGCATTGGACCCTCCTTAGCCAGTTTGATCCCTCTGAATAAGCTCTGGTTCACCAGATTAGTAATCCCTCGCGAGAATACTTCAGAAACCAACAAAAAGAGGTAAGGTGATAATGGATCGCCTTGTCGAATTCGTCTTGTAGGTGTGACATAACCACAGACATTTCCATTCAGATTAAAGGAGAAAGTAGATGAAGAGACACAGGCCATGATCCACCTTATAAATTTTGAGTGAAATCCCATCTTTTGCATAGTCATCCTAATGCAGTTCCATTCCACTCGGTCATATGCCTTCTCCATATCAAGTTTTATTGCCATAAACACATTCTTGCCTGAAGTGTGTCGATTCAAAAAGTGAAAAATCTCGTGAGCTATAACCACATTGTCTAACAGTTGCCTCCCAGGTACAAAAGATGTCTGAGCTTCACTGATACAACCATCTAGGCACACCTTTAATCTCTCAGTCAACACTTTAGCTACAATTTTATACAAGACGCCACATAGGCTAATTGGTCTGTAGCTACTTAAGTGTTCAGGAAATAAACATTTTGGGACCAGTGGTATAACTGAGTGATTCCAGTTTTTGAGCATTGTACCTGTTTTGAAAAAATAAGACACTGCTTTACAAATATCAGCTTTCACCAGATGCCAAAAGTGCTGGAAGAATATAGCAGTCATCCCATCTTCGCCTGGAGACTTTTCAGAGGCCATATTAAAAAGGGCATCATGAATTTCATCCTCAGTGACAGTTCTAATTAGCTCATTATTAGTAGCATCTGAGATATTGTGAGGAATATGCCTGAGAAGCTCCTCCCCTCTAGCTGAGCCTTCGGATGTGAATAATGCTGAGTAAAAATCCACAATATGCTCCTCCAGCTTTTGCTTCTCTGTAATCACCACTCCTGAACCAGCCACCAGTCTCAATATTGAGTTTCTCTTTCTCCTCTGTGCAGTAAACGCATGAAAAAACCGAGTATTTCTATCACCCGCTTGAATCCATAAAGCTCTAGATTTAGCCCTCCAGAATTGTTCCTCCTCACTGTATGCCTTGTCCAGATCAAGTTTTGTTGAGCACCATGTTTCCCAGTCCTTGTCCTTCCCCTCAGCTCTCAAGGCTTCCATTTTGGCTGTAAGAATTTGAATCCGTTTCTCATTATTTCTCTTCATAGTATTATACCAGGTTAAAATCTCTCTTTTAGTACTCTTCACTTTCTGATGAATTTTGAACATATCAGAGCCCTCAACTTCCCCTTCCCACCCTTTGGACACTGCTTCCTCAAAACTCTCCATCCTTAGCCAGTTTTTATCAAACACAAATCTCTTATTATAAAGATCCTGCTCCTTCTCTGTGTCATATAATATCACATTGTGATCAGATGCACTTCTGAAAAAATTATATACCTCCATTTTTGGGAATTTTAAGAGCCACTCTTGAGAAGTGAATACTTTATCCAACCTCTCCTCAACATAACCATCCCCTCTTCTGTTATTCCCCCAAGTGAAAAAAGCTCCTTTCTGATCTTGTTCTTGCATTTCCATACCCATAATGAAATCTCTGAAAGGAAAGAAGCTGTTCTCTGGTCTCACTAACCCACCTCTTTTCTCCTCATTACAAGCTATATCATTCCAATCCCCTGCAATAGCCCAACAGCTGCCCCACTCATCTTTTTTCCCCAGTAAAAACTCCCATTGCATCCTCCTACTACTCCTGTCTGTACTGATGTACACAAAAATAAGCCAGCACCAGTCATTCATACCAGGTCCTTTGACTTCCACTTGAATGCAGAAATCATTCCCCTCAAGTTTTCTGATTTCTACATTATGGTCCCACATCAACAGAAGACCTCCTTTGCTCCCAACAGGCTCCTGAAAAAACCATCTGTCTGCAAAACCCAATTTATTACACACCGTTCTAGTATAGTGTTTGTTTTTTTTTTTGTTTCTGATAGAAAAATAATATGTGGGTGGTGGATTCTCCTTGAATCCTTGATTTGGGAAACTGTAGAGGGCCCACCCAGCCCTCTACAATTCCACACCATGGCTTTCATTTATCACATTGGGGCCATTCCAGGCTGGCCTTCTCCACCTTATTAGAGTCTAGTTTGGTTCTCTTTCCCATCTGCTCCTCTTCATTGCATTGGTTATTCACCACTTGCTGATATTGCTCCTTGTCCCTCTCTCTTTTCCAACCACTGAAAATCCCAGAGCTTCCTTCCATCAATGAGCTTCTCAAGAGTCTA